AGTCTGTGAGCTAAATAAACCTTTCCTCCTTCAACTTGTGGGTGTTGGGTATTTTGTCTCAGCAATGAAAAAAAAAGTAACTAAGGCAATTCCATTAACAACAGAGGAGCCTTGAGGACTTAAACACCTCTTTAAAAGCCCAGCATCTTAATGCTATTATCTCAGCAACACCTAAAATGTTCAGGGGAAATATTCAAACCAGAGCAATAAGTAAGCCAGGAATATAAGTGGCATCTACTCTGCTAGTCAGGAGCTAGAGTAGGAAACCAGTTATTACTGCCACTCTTCAGTATTGGAAACCCAAGACAGTCGAATAAGAAACACAAAAGAAAACTAATAAGAGAAATATTTCTATGGGAGTAAGATGATAGAAAGTATTACTTTCAAATTACGTTTTCCTTCCTAGACAATCTAAACAATAGACTTCCCTGGTTTTCATCACTTTGTTGGCATTAATGTTTTTATTTTCTAACAGAATTTCTCAAATATTTCATCACAGTTATCATTGCCAGGTGCTTTGTCTTCTCTGGATATTCCCTTTCTGTCTTATCTGGTTCCTCTTTTGTAAATGCAATCTCCTCTTTTGTAAGTGTTTTAAATGTTTTCTTATGCTTCTTGCATTTTGAAATTTCCTATGAATTATCCCCTCCTCTGGGTTTTTTTTTCTGTCCTATACTTTTTATGATAGAAGCTACCTCAAATATCTGGTAATAATCGGTGAATCTATTCACATACATGAATGCTGACTGGAAGCTCCCTGGGTAGGGCCAAGTTCACTGACTTCTGGGCTTGACTGCAGTCAGACCAACTGGAAAACTAATCATTACCTAAGGACACTGGATAGGTAAGTCTCCAGAGATCCTACACTTTGGCCTCACTACACTGTGTCTCTCCTCACATCTTCAGATTTTTAGAGAGAAAGAAACTAAGTAAGAGAGAGAGGACAAAGGTATTCCTCATTGCATGTGTTAACTTTCACTCACCATAATATTCTCTGGGTGTACTCTTTACTCTGTCCTCAGACAATCCAGGTACTCTGAGAGAAAAGTTGCGTAGGTCAATTTTTCCAGAATTGAAGTAGAGTCGTCTAATTGCACAAGGTAGGTTAGGATCTCTACATGCTTTCTGTCTTGCAAAATTATCTTGACATCTCTCATAAAGTGTTTTCTCTTTCCCATTTTAATCAAATCTAAGATTAAGGAGGTAATAGTGATAAAGGCCTTTGTCAATCTGCTATGTTTACTAGATGTCCATACTCAAATGTTAGTCCAAGGAGTCAGTTTCCAGTGATATCTTTCAGCACCCAGTCAGTATGGATAAATTATTATTTTTGTATTCCCTCTCTCTCTTTTGTTTTTGGTACCAGGGATCGAACTCGGGCCTCTACTGAGCTGGCAAGGCAGGTGGTGAAACCACTGAGCTAAATCCCTGGCCCAGATTATCACTTTTGGAACACCAGAAGCTCAAATTCACAATACTGTGAAATGACCAAGAACAAATAACGCAGCACTCATTGAATTCTGAGAAGCCCCTATATTCATCACAGTAACTCTGGCAAGCTCGCAACACAAGCTGTAAAAGTCCCAAGAAGCAGGACAAGGGAGACAATTTCAAGAGTGGGTATACTGGAATCTTCACCATCCCTCTTGAACCTAGAGCAAAGGCTTCATTAATGACGTCTCCTTGATCTACGTATCTTTCTTGGTATTAGGGAAGTCTGCCATAAAGATCAGAAACCAGGAAGGGTTATTCACAGAGAAAGGAAAGGAACTTCCTCTTCATTCCATTATAAAATCAGACCTGCTGGGTACCGTTTACTTTTGGACAAAACTAAATATTTTAGAACTTTAAAATTTTTTAAATAGAGGCCCAGAGATTAGACAAATTCTAGGCTCTAAATGAGAGGAACTGCCTTAATTATGGGAGAATGAAGAGTATTCTCAGAGTAACTGAGATCAGTCGGTGATACTAAGTGTACGAATCCGAGATATTTCCTGTGGCCATTCTCACCCTCACTGAATGTATTAGAATTGATGTACAGTCCTCAGTTTTCACAGCAGTTGTGGCTGGGCCTCAACTAATTATCTCTGCATTTCCAGAGGCAGGGAGAGAAGGACTCAGGTAAAAATACAGTTTGTACTAAACCAGTATTTGTTTACGAAAAAATCCAAAACACTTCCAGAATCAAATTCCTTGGGCTGGGGATGTATCTCAGTGGTGCTGTGCCTGCTTGACAAGCTTAAGGTCCTGAGTTTGATCCCCAGTACCAGAAAAAAATAAAAAATCAAATCAAATTTCTTGATTGATAAAATTCAACCTTTGCAAAAAAGACTAAATTACCATACAAGGATCCCTGGAAACTGTTGTAAAGCTTAAGGTATTTATTTAGAAATAAACCACCACAGGGTTTCTTTAAATATCAAAATACTCTTGAGTAAATAAGAATGCATTCAAGTTATAAACCTGGAGGCAAAAATAATTTTACAGAAATCATCACATCTCAAGAGTAAGAGAATACTCCCGGAGTACACTGGGAAGTTTAGAAAAAGAAACAATTCCCTAGTTAATAAGGCAGAGAAGGAGTGTTCACTGATGGACAATAGCAAAGGCAAACTCAGAAACACACATCTTACAAATAAAAACCTGACTAATGCTGCATATTCATTCTAAATATTTTTTAAGTTGTTAAGAAAGGATAGAATGAGGAAATGTCAGCATTTATGCCAACTCTTTCAAGCTAAAATTGTGTGCATTCCTCTCCTGGGGGGGGCAATCCCTTATTAAGTGAAGATCATTCCAAACACACTCCCTTAGCATTAATCAAACTCAGCCATTACTCTTTGACCTCCTGAATCTCTTTTCTCTTTTCCTCCTGAGCTAAGACTTACCTAACATTCAGTCTGCTACAAGATCACTCTCACCCACCAAGAAACCACGGAGGCATTTCCGTTACTATGGTAGTTGCTGTCTCACTTGTGTGGGCAGCATGAGCAGCCACATGGACCAATTTTAAGTGGATTAAGAGCAGGATATACAGAGATTATACTGCCAAAAATCAATGCAAGTTATATTTATGTTGTTTACCTGAGGAGAAAAACCATCTTTTTAAATTCCCTGTGCTATTTATTTTCAACTTGAAATAAGCTGGAAAAACCAGTGTGGTACTTAATAAAAAAGATGGGAAATAGGATAAATTTGTTCTCTGAAATTCTGCTTCCGAGAACTTGTAGCTAATATGCGTTATTCTTTTCTGTCCACCTAGTGGTATTGCTATCATTTAAATTTTTTTTTCTCGTAGAGTAACACAAATAAGTAAAATTATAATGCTGTCTTTCAGAACAGCCCATTTCACTAACATTAAAAGATCTCTCTTCCAACCAAAGGTGGGAGAAATGTTTCTTCACTCTTTAGGTAACGCTGATTTTTTTTTTTAGACAGAGTCTCACTATGTAGTTGAGTCTGACCTGGAACTCACTATGTAGCCCAGGTTGGTCTTGAACTCCCAACGATCCTCCTGCCTCAGCCTCCTGAGTGCTGGTATTACAGGCGTGTGCCACCATGCACAGCTGGTAACACTGATATCTTAAACCAGATTCTCCCTTAAGCAGTTTCTGACCCTTTGTGTCAGATACCGGTAACTTGTCAAGGATGTGCTATGAGAAAAGCCTAGCAAGTAGAAAAAAGCCAAATTGGGCAGATGCCAAGACAAACAAGAATGTGTTTAGAGAAGTCCCTGGCCCAGCTGAATCCTGCACAGAGCTCCCGCTGAAATTCTACCTCACAACTGCCCTACCCGGAGGCCACAGAGCTCTTCCCTACATCCACATCTCTCTGTCATTGGTTGCAGGGTGCCTGGAAGGAAAGGGGAAGAATCCTCCATGGTTCAGCAGCTCTCCGTTCTGTCTGCACTTTTCAACTTCAGCCCCATGAAGGTCACAGGAGTAAGTTATCAGCACCAACAAGAACAAAGGTTATCTAGGCAGGACACTATAGCCTCCGCTATAAAGGATTTTTTATATCATATAACTCCATCTATATCATATCACAATCAATGATTCATATCTTATTCATAATCTCTTTTTGAGGACCCTCACTTTTGAGGTGTGCAGTTTGACAGTCTACACTTTAGGCCATTGTGTCCCACTGAAACATCCCCAGTGCTCGGGTGTACACAGTATGAAGCATTTTTATTACCGGACTGAGTAGAAGGACACTAGCAAAGGCATTCTCAGTCCAAAGGTGGTGGAATCATTGTACAATGTAAGAATTAAAGCTCTGTAGGTGTTCTGCTAGGTGTCTGAGGGAGAAGGAGACTGAGCCGGCTAAGCTACATCTGCAGTATTTTGGCTGGTCTTGTGCCAGATGCTGGGATCTTGAGCTCTGCTGAGTGTTTGGAGAGCATCCACGTAGCATCGTGAGGTGCCTTACAGGGACTTTTCTGTATAGGTCCCAGAATTCCAGCTTAATGTCTGGGTTGTCTCAGGCTAGGGAGAGAAGATAATAGTCTTCTTTCTTCACTACAAAGAACCATATGCCATCATAGGTGGAAAAAAACCCAACCAAGCATGTTGACTTTTGGACGTAGCTTGTCATTTCATGCCTGTGTGGTGCTGTTTTCTGCTTTATTTTCCCAAATAATTAGAAAAATTATAAGGATCATATTATACAGTTTTTTCACTTATTAATAAGCAGAAAGATAATCCTGGCCTGCTTTATTTGCCTTATGAAAACCATTAAAAGAAAGTAATGGTTATTGTTTCTTTTGTGTATACAAAGCTAGGAAAAACATACGGATGAAGATAATACTTAGAGACAATGAATTATTTATTAGATCTTGCTTGAATTCTGAAATTTGATCAAAGAGGAACTTCTGATACTTACTCTATTAATTATAAATGACAACCCCTTCGGGTTTTCTGCTGCAGTAATGTTTTTTTTTTTTTAAACTGTCTAATCCCACTCGATTCTTCTCTCTACAGTGTAGCAGGAGGAAAGGTCTTTCTTCTGAGTTTGGCTTGTGAAGATCATAGTACTACTTGTGAGCTTCTACCTGACAAGATTCCTTCCTTCATTCCAGCTGGTTGGAATTGCCTACCTTTCTCCCATTGTGGTAAATCTTTCTCTTTCATGAACCTTTGGCATCTCCACAATTTTATTTTCATTCTGATCTGGGTGCACAGTGTGACTATTCAATAGATTCTAAGTTCTTACTCATTTTTCCATTATACCTAGGAAAACATTTTATATATAGAAAAAAATATATATTTATATGCTATCGAATTGAAATTACTTATTTAAAAGAATGTTTTCAGTTTTTACAATGTACTTATATTCTACTAGGTAACGGAAAATTTTTAAAAAATGAAAATAGATCCTTTATTGAACTTTTCATCAAGGTTTAGAGATAGCTATGCTTTAAAAGAGGAGATTATAAGAGATTTTGTTAAATTCTGTAAAAGCAATGCGTACAAAATACTGTAGCAATATACAATAGCTTGGGAGGACAGCAAGTGTCATTCCCACTAAAAAGACCAGGAAGCTGAGGCTGATAGATTTCCAGAGTTCCTTCTCTTTTCATGGACATTCATCATATAAGAATCAGAGGGCTTGCCCTGGGAAAGAAAACACAATATAGCAAAGGCTCATATGGTTTGTCCAGCAATATTTGTATTTAAGAAAAGAGAAACCAAATCTCTGAATACAGTTTATTTTAATCTTAAATGTAAGCAGTGCATCTGTCCCAAGCTATTCAACAATCCAAGTACAAGAGCCCACATTTAAGAAATTCCAATATCTCTTGCTGTAAGTTTATATTCATGTAATTTTATTTGGGAAGGAAAATATGCTCAATATTTTAACATATCAAACTAACTTATATTGAAATATTATATGGTGCTTTCACCCCTATTGAGGAACCATGGTCTCAGTGGACATACTGGAGAGAGATTTATTTCGAGACTTCTATGAGTAATAAAAGGACTAGAAAATAGAGAAAAGTGTGCTCTGTGGCTAGAGAAGGTAACACAACACAGGATCAACAAATATGCTAAAGGAAGCAAACATTGGAAGTTTTATGGAAAACAAATGGATTGGAGTAGCTTTAAAGACACAATAACAAATGTTGGCAGGGTTGTGGGGAGAAAGGAACCCTTCTCCATTGTTGGTGGGAGTGCAGGCTGGTGCAACCACTATGGAAATCAATATGGAGACACCTCAAAGAGCTGGAACTAGAGGTCCCATTTGACCCAGCCACAGCTCTGCTGGGTAACTTTCCAAAAGAATTAAAAGAATCACATCACAGTGACATATGCACACCTATGTATATAGCAGCACAGTTTGTAATAGCTAAAACTTGGAAACAGCCCGTTTGCCCATCAGTTGGAGACTGGATAAAGAAGATGTGGTTTTTCTATAAAATGGAATACTACTCAGCCATAAAGAATGAGAAATTAGATTCATTCATAGGAAAGTGGATACATTTTGACGATATACTCCTAAGTGAAATAAATAAGTCACACATGTGTAAATACCAAATAGTTTCTCTGGTGTGAAAAACTATAATAGTACTCAAGATCCTAATGGGATAATTAACAATGTGAAATAGGAAGAAAAGGTCTAAAAGCGTAGGGAAAGTGGGAAGGGTAGAGGAAGGGGAATAAAGGAAAAGAAAAAAGTGTGAGAAAATGAAAAAAATGGAATTAAAGTGTTTGTAGATGGGGAGGGGAGGAGGGGGTGAAGGGAGGGTAGGGACAAGGGGAAAAATTGAGAACCAAGACCTGGCATGTAAAGGTACAAGATCCCAGTAATGAATGTAACTGTACTGTATAACTAGATTGTACCAATAAACTCAATAAAAAGAAAAGAAAAAAAAGATGCTAGAGTAAAGAAAAATAAAGGAGTTTATTGGAAGAAGAAAGTAGCACAAAAATTAAGATGTTTCTATGTATGGAAATTTGGAGAAAAACTGAGTGGTGAGGAAACATGTAGGAAAAGAAAGAAAAAAATGAAGCATGTCCACTCACCCTGAGTAGTTTTCCATGAATTCACCTTCAGTAAAGTAATTCTATTACAGCTCTTCAGAATTGCTACAGGGCACACGCACAGCGCTAATGCGCCAGTATCCTCCCCATAATCTCTGCCATGGTGCTTTATGCTGCAAACCTTGTGAGGTGTTCTTCTTGGGGCGAAATGACAGATGGTAATTCTGTACCACTCCAGTGGCAGCTGGAGAGTAAAGAGAAAGCTATTCTTTACTACACTTTATGTCCATACTGACGTGGCTTAACCTCCATATGAGCCAGAGAAATTAGTTACTGTGGAATCTTCATTACAGCACAGCTAATGAGTAAATAAAATCAAGAGAGCGAAAGATAATTTGGTTAAATATGCACTAGGGATGGAAAAACCAAGATGGGGACATTCATCCCACTTACAGGATTTGGCTTCAAATCTATTCACATCATGTCTAATTATGAGCAGCTGTTCAATGTAACCATCAAAGGTTTCACTACACATTCCTAGCCTGGTACAATGCTGAGAAAAAACAAACGAAAAAGGTATTTAAGTGTCCTCAGTACCAGTTTTTGATAAATTTACTAGAGAAGTCCTATATTGATTCCTCTACAGATCAATATTCACATAGAAATTTCAATCACTGCAACCAACGAAGATGGGTTTACCCTATTGCCTTCTCCCAAACCTTCACTGAGTCTTCGGCAGGGACGCCTTATTCCTTAGTCTGAACTCAGTATAAACCCAAAGCCCACTTCCTCTGGACGGGTGTGTTCAGGAAGGACAGAACTGTGTGGCACACTCCAACGACAGTTCTTAGTAACCTAAAATCAGGCTTACATTATAATCTTGAAATTTCTTTGAATGCATTCTTGGCAATGAGTGAGTAGTATCCTTGGAGCTTGTTTTCTTAAAAAGCCTTTTTAGAATGAACACTAGAGAAAATCAAGGCATACTTTTCAAATACTTCTGTCAAAATGCTGACATTTGCATCAGCTGTCTTAGTCCCAGCGCATCTCCAGTAGAAGAGAGCAGTCATCCGAAGAAGGCAAAAACAAGTCTGCTCATAATCCTCAAAGCTCTACATTTTAACGCTCTTTTCTCTGTTCACACCTTCAGTTCCACTTTTATCTTCCCTGCTCTCTGCTCTCTCCTTACTCTCCTTGGCTTCAGTCTCATTGGTAAAGGCAAAATGTATTAAATGGCCCTTATCCTCCTGCCAAAAACCACTCTTCTAAATCTACCTTTAACCAGAGACCCATCTTCTCCCTTTCAATTTTCAAATTTACAAAAATTTGGTAAATTTACTAGAGAGAAGACAGCAGTCACCCACTCTGTTCTCTGGATCCTCGCTTCTCAGCAGCATGGCTTTCCCATTTTTCCTCATTTCCAAGATGAGTCCACCCAATTTCAAGACCTCTAATTACTTAATGTAGTCCAGGATGACTCTCGGCCACATCTGCATTCACTTTTACTACTCTCCCCTTGTTGATCCATTCTCTGTGCATCAGCTTATCTTTCTTTTTTTTTTTTAAGAAAACACCATGCGATCATTCTTCACTATAAGCTCGCTCAGTGCTATTTCACCACTAAGGCTGCTGACATAAAGGTTCTGGTGAGCTGCTCCCATGCACGACTCCAGCTTCAGCCCTGACTCCCTCCCAGTGCCTTTAGTGAGTCTAACCTCTCTGTTCCTCTGTCTGACAGGGCTGGATTCTCACACCAACTTCACAAGGGAAGAATTCCCTCTTGTGGTTACTCTGACTTCTATACATTCTCAAAATGAAAGTTTAAATACCAATTCACTGGGGAATCCTTCAAAACTATTCCCTATCCATAAAGCCTAGTTAACTTTGGAAATAGAATTCAGTGCCCTAAACCTCTTACTCCCCATTCAAATTTTTGCTTTGTTCCTGATACATTTGAAGTCTTTTTCTAGAGTCCAATACTGAACCCAATATCTGGATTTGTTTGACCTAATTTCCTCACATTTGACTTACACTCTCGTCCTATTTCATTCAGGTAAGATGATGAACCATCTAAAATATGACCCTTCGATTAACCCAGCTCTAGCCTTCCACACAAGAGGTTCAAAAAGAAAAGGAGGAGATATAGAGGCAGGAACAGGTTAATAGACTGAACTGTAAACCAAGGAGAGTCAAGAGTGAAGATCTAGAAAAACAATAATTTCATGTGTAGTACTACTACCTCCATTCACAAATGTTTCTGTTAAAGAACAATTTGTTCGTGAAGAGAAGTGTTTGGAAGAATTTTGCTTCAGTTAGTGAATGCCTCACCAGTAACAAACACAGCCATGGCCATCTTCTCCCCATTACATGAACATGGCCATTTTCCCCAGAATCATGGAAAGAATTAAGTTAGTGAAGCCAGGTACCATTGCACTAAGAGTCTGAGTGAGGCTGTGGTTGTATAAAGGGTCTAGAAGTTCATAGCCACATAATACAGGGGGACCAAATATCCTGGGTAAATGGTGATGCAGGAACCACACATTGTCAATTAGAAGAGCAGCAAAGAAACAGGAATGTAAATAACATGGAACTTACACTTTTTATGCATTAGCCCACAGCAGAAATCCATGCACAGCTATAGTAGATACCTTGTTTTGGTCATCACCATTATCCCACAGAACTTCCTTTTGAAAATCTGCCATTCTACCATTTTTAAAGTTGGTATTTGGATAGTATTAACTTCATCTGCCATCCATAAATGAACATAGATTGACTTATTCTAATTACCATTTTTCATCTTTCTTATCATACTAATTGATTTGTGGGTACTACGATAATTCTTTCGAAGCCAAAGAGAACTAAACATCTATATGCTAATGATTCTGCAAAACAGATGCAGTCTTTCTCTGGTGGGAGCTACTGGCAGGAATCTTTTGAGCTGACCACCTGGACTGTGAGGTGTGAGCATCTGTAATCTGAAGCTTCTGAGGTCCCTTTTTGTTTGTTTTGCATAAAGGAAGAGCCCTGAAGAGCAGGGGGAAATCATTTGACAACAGGACGATGGAAAGCAGAGCAGTGAATCATCAGTAAACTACATTCTTGGTAGTTATCTGAACTTCTTGGCATCAGT